AACTCCTGACCTTGTGATCCGCCCACCTCAGCCTCCCAAAGTGCTGGGATTACAGGCGTGAGCCACCGCCCCCGGCCAAAGTTCCCTTTTAACTGGGAGAATTCACATGCTTATGAATCTGGCTGCCTATGTAAGTGGCACCGTCATTGTGGCCATCAGCATTGCCACGAGGATTAAAGGCCCGCCCTGGGTCTGAAGCCAGGCTTGGCCACTTACTGAACTGCCCTTTTTCTCCAACCATAAATGAGGACTAACTACGGTTGCTACAAAAATTAAATGGCATAGAAAGTGTGAAAGGAACATAAATCCTGGGACCCCACACTCGCTAACCAAAGGGAAAAGTGAAGCTAGCGACTGTGTCATGGGGACCAGCCTCCTGTTTCGGTTCCAAATTATTGAGGAACAAATAACTACAAAGATGAAAAGATTGGCTGGGCTTGGTGGCTCACACCTGCAATCCCAGCACTTTGGGAGGCCGAGGCGGGTGGATCACTTGAGGTTAGCAATTCCAGACCCGCCTGGCCAACATAATGAAACCCCATCCCTACTGAAACTACAAAACTTAGCCGGTGTGGTGGCAGGTGCCTGTAATCCCAGCTACTGGGGAGACTGAGGCAGGAGAATCACTTGAATCTGGGAGGTGGAGCTTGCAGTGAGCCAAGATCGACACACTACGCTCCAGCCTGGCAACAGAGTGAGACTCCATCTCAAAAAAAAAAAAAAAAAAAAAAAGATGAAAAGCTACACACCTCCCTCACATTTTGCCCATAAGGAAATTCTTTGTGGGCTTCAAGATCTTCATCCTAAAGCGCTTCCGTTAAAGTTCACCTTGGCAATGTGAACTGATAGCTTATCTTCACATGTGCTGGGACGAGGGGCAGAACTGAGTTGTCCCTCCACCCACCTGAGGCAAATGCATAGCTCATTGTTTCCGCCGCCCTGTCTTCGGTATCTTACGTAAAACCGCAGTCACTGAACCAGACAAAAATGTGACTTTTCCTCCACCCCCTCACATGAAAATTGTGTATTTCCCAATATCCTGCCCTTCCTCCTTTCAATATTGAAGCCCTCAAAATCATCTTCGGATAAAGGCACAGACCAGTCTCCCAAGTGTGCGTCCCTAATGTTGGCATTTAAACCTAAAATGGTGGAGACTTGCCTCAGTCATCTTCCGTGACTGGCAAGAGTCTTTAAGGCCTGGCCCAGGCCAAACACTCACTGAGTGGCTGCCCCACACACCTATCTACCAGGAAACAGAACGGAATTTCTGGTTGTACTCAGGGCAGCCCCACCCTGTCAAGCATGCAGACAGGGAAAGCTAACCTCTGAGCATAGCCAAAGCATGGCTTTCAAAAACAAACCTCCGGAAGAAGCAAGGACCCTTGCTATGTTAAAAGATGCAGACATTTCTCCCCTACAACTGAGAACCAGCCCGGCAGGGGACTCACAGGTGTGAGGCAGCTCCAGCAAGCCTGATTTCAATGAAGGGTTGTGAACCCAGCAAATCTGAGCCTCAGTTAATTTAGAAAGTGTATTTTGCCAAGGTTGAGGGCGCGCCCATGACACAGGCTCAGGAGGTCCTGACCGCATGGGCCCAAACTGGTTGGGATACATTTTAAGGAGACATGAGACATCAATCAAGTACATTTTAAAAATACATTGGTTTGGTTCAGAAAGGTGGGATAACTCAAAGCAGGAGGGGGGCTTCCAGACTAGAGGTAAATTTAAACATTTTCTTCTTTTTTTTTTTTTGAGACAGGGTTTTGCTCTTCTACCCAGGCTGGAGTGCAGTGGCATGATCTTGGCTCACTGCAACCTCCGCCTCCCACTTTCAAGTGATTCTCTTGCCTCAGCCTCCCAAGTAGCTGGGATTACAGGCACCTGCCACCATGCCCCGCTAATTTTTGTATTTTGAGTAGAGATGGGGTTTCACCACGTTGGCCAGGCTGGTCTTGAACTCATGACCTTGCGATCTGCCCACCTCGGGCCTCCCAAAGTTCCCAAAGTGCTGGGATTATGGGTGTGAGCCACCGTGCCTGGTCAATTTAAACATATTCTGGTTGACAATTGGTTGAGTTTGTCTAAAGACCTGGATCATCTCTGGGTGCAGTGGCTCATGCCTGTAATCCCCGCACTTTGGGAGGCCGAGCTGGGTGGGTCACCTGAAGTCAGGAGTTCCAGACCAGCCTGGCCAACATAGTGGAACCCGGCCTCTACTAAAACAAAAAAAATTAGCCGGGCGTGGTGG